CAACCTTTGACGAGAATATTTGGCTGATTACTATGTATAGCTTGTAAGTTGTAACATGGAATATATATATAGACGCTTGTATGTTTTTGGTAAAATTCATAATAGAAAATAATACCAATAGTGGAACAAAGAGTCGGTAGCTCTATTTACGTGCCAGGTTTAGAGAAACTTCCTTTGTTCTCTGAATAAGAAAAATTCTATTTCTGTAAATATGGGACCCCATTTATATTAATTTCTTCTGCCCATGTGTATTTTCTGCGAATAACAAATAATACAAAAATATAGGTAACTCTTTTAAAAATAATTTCAATCGTGCCATCACCACCACCAATAACCCAATAATAATCCCATTAGGGGGATTTCAACCGTGCCAACATTTGTATTAATTTCCTATTTAACAATAACAGTAGTTCTGACACCTAAAAGTCCGCTTTGTAGTGTTCTAAGTTTTAAGAAAAAATATACTGTATAAGTGCTCTTAAAATAATAGCTGAAAAAAAATAAATATATATATATATATATATACGTTATATACAAATTTTATACACTTTTTCGCAACAAATATAAATAGTTTTTGGCGCGGCTAAAAGTGATAGTACAGCTTTTGAAATGAATAATTCATGATAGTCTTTAGTGTTTTAGTCCCTTTTATTTTTATAATCCAGAAATCTTCCATAATTATTAAATATTTATCAAATTGGACTAACTGCCTTTTTTGTATTTTCACCCAGTTAAATGCCAGATTTTGGTTAAAATTTAATTTCGTAACATTAGCCTAATTTACCTATCATGTGGTGTGTTCTACCCACTAAGTGAATTCCGCCGACAATAATGTAAAATGTCGAAAATTAAAGACATTTTTTGTTCAAAAGAAGTTTTATGATTATTTATCGACATTCAAGAAAGTCAAATGTAGATTGAGGTTACCACGCGGTGAAATGATTTTTACCCCAAGCTTTTATTGCAATTACTTTACACATGTGTGGATTGGAAACTATAGACTTTTGCACGTCCCATTTTCCAATGAGTCATCCCATATTGCTTTTGACCTTTTGCTTTTCTTTCCATCTGATTTCTTGTCTTTGAATTTTAGTGTAATCTTTTCACATTTGATTTTGACAGCCTCTTTACTTTCAACATCTTCCCCACCAAAAATCATCCTAATTCCATACCAAGTAACTTTGCTTCACTGTTGAAAACATACCAACACGCCATGACTCATCTTACACCCAATAAATATTAGAGAATTTAAGTTACATATATTTTTTTTGTATTAAAGATAGATATGGTATTAAGCAAACATATGCGTACAGAGATGTTGGTGCTCAGGTAGCACCATATTACAAACTAAGTCATTACTAGTATTATCTATATTGTTTGTAGTATCCCTAATGGATTTGTCATTACAACAACCAAAAAAGTTTGGGATTATGTGAGAGTTGCTCCTTTCATGCACTGTAGGTCGTTGATCTGGCAAGGCCCATGCATTAAGCGGCAGTGAGCGTGTAGTTGATATACCTTGCTTGTCTTCATCCCATATTTTTTTAACAAAAAGTGGTGCTTGCTCAAAAACCTGCATTGTATAATTCCCTTCCAAAAAGCTTTCTGATTTTGATAGCTGATTTGCTAATCTATTTTGTTCTCTGTACGCGTGGCTAACATGGATCGTGTAGCTTCCACAGCAGGTGCCTGCAATCAGTCAATAGATTAGCGTATATTAAATTGTTATCATGTAGCAACGTGATTACCTCCTTAGTGTCAATCTCCACGTGAAGTGGCATTAAGTTGTGTAATACTGCTAATGTAAGTCCCTGTAATAATGCATATATTTCTGTGGCAATAGTCGATTGACAAGGTATGTTACTAAGAAACCTAGAATCCAGTTCCCATTGTGATCCCTAATTATTCCTCCAATATCATTTCTATTGGATTCTAATGAGTGTGCCCCATCAGTGTTTAGCTTATATATGTTAGGTTTTGGTTGTATCCAACCATCACACGTCGTTGTATTTTATGTTGTGAAGCAACTAGGTAACAAAATTCAGTTGCTTGTTGTGTAGTAAATTGAATGTTTAATATATTTATGCATGCCTTCATGAACATTCTTGTTTCTGGTGATCCAAATGTTCCACAAACTTAAAGGTAAATAAGTACGTGGATTTATATTGTATGGTAATTTATGGTCTTTGTAATTAAGTAAAGGAAGAAGCCATTCTTGTGGTGTATTGAAATTAAGCAAACTATTTATATATCGTCCCATACCCAGTTCATTCCAGTAATTTTTCCATTAACACAGGTTAGAAACAAATGACTTAAAGATTCGTCTGCTTCATGACAGTACACACATTCCGCGTTACTAATAATGTTGAGATGTTGCAGAAATTCAAATGTTGGTAGCCTATTATGATTAAGTAACCAAATGAAATATTTAATTTTGGGATGTACAGGTAGGTCCCATATCCACTTGAAATGAAATATTGTATTGTGGTCATCAGTGGCTTGATTTTCAAAGGCTTTGTACATTGATTTAACCGTAAATTTTCCATCAGTTGTTAAGCCCATTAAATACTACAATATCAACTTTTTTATTGCAAGTGAAAATGTAAGGAGTCATTATAAGATTTTTTATGTCATCTGTAAGTTCAAAAGGCGAGTTGTTCCAATTCCAAGTATTGGAATTATAGATTGACTCAATTTTTATTTATTGATGTGTCAAAGGCAAAGGCCCACTTATTAATGAACGAACAGTAAGCCCAGCCTTTACCCACGCGTCGTCCCAAAAATTAATGTGTGCACCTGTTCCAATTTGCCATTATAACCTAGTTGACAATATTGCCAACCTTTTAGTATGTTACGCCAAGTTGGGCAGTGGTTGCTAGAAGATGATAAATGTACAAATTTATTGATTAATACTTTTGCCCAAAGATTTTGGGGCGAATGGAAGACTTGCAAGTAATGCCTTGTTCTTTTGATGAAGGCTCTGAATTCCTAAGCCTCTTATTTTTCTAGGTGTTATAATTTTCCTCCATTTTAAAAGATGTATTTTTTCCTTGTTGTGGTAGTTCCCCATAGAAAATTATGTTGGTACTGTTCCATCTTATTGAGAATGGTTGTAGGAATGTGATTATATTGCATAATGTGATTTGGCAAGTTATTGAGGGTTGATTTCATTAGTGTAGCTCGTCCTGCCATCATAAGGAAATTGATTTTCCATCCTGCCAGTCTAGATTTAAAATTATCCAATACAAATTGAAAGTCAACCTTTTTTTGGCGTGAATGAACTTGGGAATCCTAAATACTTACCAAAATTTGTTCCTTCCTTTAAGTTACATACACTATAATGTTAAAATTGAAATATCCACAATGAAAATATAGTATATAGCTACATTTTTTTTTCTAGAAGGCGCGCTATTTATTATTATGCAGTAAATTAAGGAGAGTTATTACAATTTCGGACTGATCTTAACGAAGCAGTCTCTAGTAAGTCTTTGCGAAATGTAAAAAAAGCAAATAAAAGTGGTTTCACTCCAGAAGTGTTCGTCACACTCAGCGTTAGTACGTGAGTTACAGCTGCTCCCAAACAACAATAGTGTGTGCGCCACTTGGTTTCCTTCACGGTAGACATGCCTAACATCCGGTTGGCCCAGCGCGTCGAGCAGGAACCTAGCAATCTATTTTCACTATTATCGGAATTCAATTTTTTATGAAAGCAAGTTCCAATCCTTTTAGTAGGGCGAGAACTTCCCCTTGGATGGTTGACGAGATTATTATGTAGCAAGAGAACCCATCAATTCATTTTCCTTTGGAATCTATGAGTCCCCCTGCTCCTCCAACATTGGAGTTTATTGGCATGCACCATCTATATTGAGTTTATAGATTCTATGTTTGCTAATAGTCTTTTAGTCATACCGAAAATTTATATGTTAAAAAAATATAAATAGCTTTTAGTATTTTTATTTTATATATTATTTGCTTAGGAGAAAGTTACTTGGAGCGTATGATCAATAAAATTCATGTAATTGACTTTAACTTACTGCGTATAGTAATAATTGGTATTGTTGCACGCTACAATGATAAAGAACATATAAATTATTTGTAAAATCTTATAATATGTCATTAAGATGTAAATTATATTTTGTTCCGAGTATACATTTATATTCATCATAGATGAACACTGCCGATCGCCACCTCTTGCAAGCAACCGTCGGTCACAAATGGGAATAATCGTACGCTATCACAGATACTTTTAATTTCTTTGGAGATTCTCAATGCAACATGCGCTGAAATACGCCTAGCTGCTTACTACTCTACAACACTTAAAATAAAAAGTGAAATGGAATATAAATTGGTCGAGAAAAAGAACCGCCATAGTCGAAATTTGGGGAAAATTATTGGTAGTAACACTTTCAAATAATTTGATAGTTTACAAAATATTTATGCGATAAACGCTAAATTTAAAGAACTAATGATAGTAAGCTTCTTTAAAGCAACAAGTCAATGTGTCCTAAAACTTGTAGATTCCATTAATTAAGGAGACAATCTTACAATTATTTGCAATTTATTGATGAAGATGCTACTCACATGACAAAGTCAAGGAATCAATCCCAAAATTAATTTTCTCAAATTTATGATACTTTCTTCTGACTCGAAAAGCATGGAATGCGTACTGCGCACTCCGCGTACGACATAAGAAATCACTTTAAAGTCTTAAAGCTCTCCCTTTTCACAGTCCCCTTCTGACAAATTTTCAAAATAAAGAATAACAAAACCATAAAGGTACAACAACTTAAAAGCGATGTACAACTACAATCAACACCACATACCATAACATTTGTTTTACAGTTGTTTTCGCCAGTCGGAAAATTAAAGTGTTTATAAAAAAGGGTAACTTTAACAAACATAACAAACAAAAGCAGAGCCACTGAGACGTCTCAATTTAACGTCGTGAAAACAAACGTTGATTCTTCACGGCAGAAAGTGATATAATGGACGGAATTGAAAAATTAGCCGTCTAAAACGACCTCACTCCTCATTTTCTCTCTCTCTCTCCTCTGCAACTCAACAGAAGAAGAATCAGAACCTTTTCTCACTCTTCACCTTTTTTTCTCTTTCTCTACATATCTCACACACCTTGCCCTCATTCCCACCTAAATACTCCCTACACTATTCCTCACTTCTCCGTGTTCGACGGCCGCCGGACGGTGAAACAGTAGGTAAAATCACGTCGTTTTTTTTTTGTAAATAGCAATTTAATATTTATGATGACGGCGTTGTATTATTTATAGATATGTTCATTAATTTGCTTATTTACTTATTTAAATTGTAGAAATTGAGTCTATATGATATATGGAAATTCTGAGGGTTTTATGGGTAATTTTTGTGTTTTTAATTTTTTTTTATTACTGCTTTTTTCGGCTTTCATTTCGGATCTCTGTGACCTCTGTAGTGTTTGGTACTTACTTCTAGGGTTTTTGCGACTGGTTTTGATTCCAGTAATACTTTCTCCGATAAAGTAGCAAATGAAATCGACTTTAGCTTTTCTGTTAGTCTTATTTCTTAGGTTTTTTTTTCTTCTTTTTTTTTTCTGGTGAAATAAATCTTCAAGGGGTTATACGGATCATTTGAGCTGTATTTATTGCATATGGTACTTTTTTTTTGCAATTTTATTATTAATAAGTGTATCCGAGATTACTCACTGCTTTATCAGATTTGGCAAATGTTGTATTGCAAATTTTTTATTGAGAATTGCTGTTTGATTTTGAGCGAGAAATTGAACATCCTTATTCCAAAACTGTCAGATTCACAGCATTTGCAGTGCGCTTAAGGTACTGTATAGATCACAAGTATTGTGTTGGAAGGGAAACATATTTGGGTGAGTGATCTATGTAGGATGTTGCTGACCAGAGTGATTTGTCGGAGTTCGGAGGGTAACGTCTTGAATTTTAGTCTGTAAAATGCCACCAGATAGTGTTATAGGATGTTCTGTTGTGAGAGCGAAGAGTAGGAGCTTGAATTGCCTTGAAATTGTCAAGGTAGTATAAAATGTATTGAAGCAGCATGTCTGGAATCATTTTCTTTGTTCATTGTTTTCATTGATATTTCTTGTTTTTTTTGTCTACCAAAAGGATTATGCAGTGAAGACATAATGTGCAATTACAAGTTGTGCATGTCAATAATTTTTGCCGATAGTTTTTTGTGAGTTCTGACTTCATTTGTTTTTATTGTTGCAGAAAATTAATATCTCCAATTTTCATCGTCTAGTGAACGTGCTGGTATTATCATTGATGCGACTCTTTAGCTGCCTATGAATTTCACATTTTGTATCTAAGAAAGCATGGGTTCAGCTTGTTGTGTTGCTGCTGGAGATAGAACGGTTATAAATGGATCAACCGCTGAAAGTTTGCAGAGGAATGTCCGGTACTCGCCTTCGTGGAGCTTTCGTTGGGATAATCGGGGGCGTGTTGCTGGGGAGGAGACATCAGTCAATTGGTCTTCTGATGGAGTTGGTGGAAATGATAGATTAGAGTTTAAATCTGGAACAACCTTAGAAACTCTATATGCATCTGAAGAGGGCAGTCCATTGGATAGTTCCCGATCACTTGCATTGCAGAAGTCACCAGTTTCTGATTGCAACACGGTGAACTCAACGCTTCCTCTATCTGGTAAACATCAACATGGCTCTCTCTTCACTTCGTTTGATTGTAGGTGCTAATACCTGATGCTTCTCAAAAATAAGGATAAAGGGATGTGAACGTACTGACTGTGTATTGAAGAGCTTGCTTTCCGTTTTTTCCTTTCTTTTTGAATAACACGCTTTCTCTCCTTTAAGTGCATGAAATTGGACGTTTAGTTCCATGTCTGCATTGTGAGATTGGTGTTTGGGAGGAAGAGGAGAATTTTGCCGTATGTTGGTGGAGTGTGGAGCCATAAGTAGATATATTTCATCAGTCTTAGTTAAGCAAATAAATAAGTCAGTTGAAAGTTACAACCTCGAGTTCTCTTGTGAAAAATGATCATTTGGGTTTGATATGTTCTGGTGGATTGGATGAAAGGATAATATAGTCCTAGACCTGATTTTTGCACTCCATGCGGTGGGAGCTGAAGTGAATGATGTGGTAGAGGTCTACTTTTGCAGGAAATTCTGAAAGAAATTTAAAATGATTTTCTTGTTTTATGCTGTTTTGGGTTGTATGAGATGCTATTTAAGGGAGGTCAGTGGTGTCTGAGATATGCAAACCTAAGATTTAATGGTCATTGAGAGAAATGAGCTGGTTTTCATCATGACAAAAGTTTGGGCTCTCATTCATCCTGCAAAAAAAAAAAAAAATTATTAACTTGTCACTAGCTTAAATGATTTAGATGAATGGTCCTTGAGCCTTATTTTTCTGTTAGTGAAAATATAAATAATTGGTTTTAAAAGCTTCAGTTTATTTTTCATCAAGTTGGGGTTCAAGTACTTGGTCGATAGAAGCTTTTGATTTCCCAAGCATTCTTTTTTCAATGCAAATCAAGCCATGATACATCGTGTCACCGACTTTGATCTCCAAGCATTCTTGTATTCTATGTACAAATGAGTTTATTTGAATGTGTAATCGAGTAGGCACTAATGTATGTGATGAGTACTTTTTCTTTCTTCCCACCTCTTTTATCTCAAAAACAAGATTATCCACTAAATGGTTCTGTGTTTGGATATACATTTTTTCTGCTTTTGTTTGACCATGCTCTGCAGCTTTTAGGAAGAAATGGTGTGATTTTTATTTTCCATTTTAGCTTGCAATTTTTTTTCTTGTTATGGTTAACTCCAATGAGTTCTTGCCTAGGAGTCGACAGTTTCTCTTTCCCACGTTGCTCCTTTGAACTCCAAACCTCTTGGTTGGAGTTGAGAGTTATCCAAAGCAGACATGTGTGGTTTCCATTTTTGAACTTTTTTTCATATGCGAAATGACATGCATATAATTCTTCTCAGGCCTTTTTTCTATGATTAAATGATGTTGACACTCATTTTGAGGGGAGGCAGCTGGAATTTGGTTTGTTCCTCCGGCCCTCGGTCACACCACAGAAATGTAGCCTCATATGTAATGATGAGGCTTACGAATTAGCTTTCTTTTTCCTAGTTAACAGTCTGTGGTCTTAATTCGTGTTATATTGCAATAGACAGTAGTTTTGCATGGTCAGATGGTGAGTATCACATAAATCCATTACTCTTTATCATGTGTAGACAGTTAGTTGGAAAATACCTGGTTATAAGACATTATTGACTTATTCAAACATTATTAGCAGATTTCATTTGATTTCATTTAATCATGTTTGAAGCTAGAAACCAATCATCATGCTCAATTTGACATAAATTTACTCAGTAATATATATTATGACCTATTTTACATGTCTTAAGGTAGACGTCACTTTTAGTAACCCCAAGATCTATTATAGCCTGTTTGGCCTAGCTAGAAAAGTTAGTTTATTTTGAAAAGTGCTATTTCTAAAAGTACTTTTGGAAGAAAAGCAGTTTGTGTTTGACTTATCTATCCAAAAAACACTTTGGAGCAATAATTTGGGTTTGGCCAAACTTTTCAAAAAAGTGCTTTTTAAGTATCAAATTACGAATAAGGACATGAATAGATTTACTTAATTGTTAATATTATAAGTAAATTAATAATCTCAAAAGTTTGTTATTAAATACGATAATTAAATCTTTTCATTCTATTTAAGTAGAATATGAAAATAAAATTTAGAAGTACTTTAATTATTTTAAGATAATTTAAATATATTAAAAAGTCGTTCAGCAAATATTCTTTACCCCTGACGTTACTATATATTAGAAAGCTCCCCTAAAAATAGAAGAAATAGTTTGACATTAATATCCTAAGTATTAGATATAAAATAAGTAAGGTTGTTTTGCTATATACTGTATTTTGTTAGGGGTATTTTTGGTAGGAAGAAAAGTCAAAATTGCTTCTGCTTCGGGAAGAAGCTACTTTTTCTCAGAAACTACTTCTTCCCAAAAGCACTTTTTTCCCCCAAAAAAGCTTGGCCAAACACCTTAAGTTGATTAAAAAAAGTACTTTTAGGGAAAAAAGCACTTTTTGCCTTTGAAGAAGCTTGGCCAAACAGGCTATTAAGATTCAAGATATTAGAATAGGATATTCTGTTTCGTGGCCTTGGGTTCTATATGACATGAAAGAAAAACTGATGCACTGTTGGTAGACAATAAATGCTGTTCGTACTTCGTAAAATAACAGTAGTTTTCTTGCCTTTGCAGATCAATCGGTTGTGAGAAATTCCACAGAGGTAAGAGCAGAGCAGTTATAAGTTTTGCTGGAGTTACTTTCCAGGCATGTTTTGTAAGTTTTTGACCTTTCTGATTTCCTTTCTTCTGGTAATTAGGTCAAAGAATCAATTGAGTCATCAGCAGTTCCATGCCCCTCTCCTGCTCCGTCAATTCCCTCTGTTTCATCATTATCTACATCTCCTTTATCATCAAGAAGTCAGCTGCTTCCTGCAAGCTCTACTCCTTTGCCTCACTATTCTTCTGGCCACCAGCTCGGACGGCAAGTTTCTGATAGTCATACACCAGGGATAAAGTCACCTACTTTCTCAATTTCTGAAGAATCATCATCCTTGGTGCTCCCTGGTTGGAGTAATGAATCAACAAGAGCCTCTAATGGTGGATCATCAGATGGATGGTCTGTTCCTGCCTTCTCTGACCTTGCAAATCCTCGTAGAGAAAGGTGGTCATTTGATAGTGAATCCATGAGTTTCCATCGTGACAAGGTAAGCAGAGCTAGTGGTCGAAGTTCCAGTTCACCTTCTGTAGATCTCCAAACCTGTGGCATTTGTACGAAGCTGCTAACAGAGAGAACTTCGTGGGCCTCAAATGAACTTGCTGTTGTTTCTGTTCTAATTTGCGGCCACGTTTTTCATGCTGAGTGCTTGGAGAGTATGACACCTGAAATCAACAAGTATGACCCAGCTTGTCCTGTTTGTACTTTTGGGGAGAAGCAAGCATTGAAGATGTCTGAAAAAGCAATGAAAGCTCAGATGGACTTGAAAGCTCGAAAGAGATTCAGGAATCGGATTGTTGACAGTGATTTTAGTGGCAATCTTGGAATGTTTGATCGACAGAAAAGTAGTGAACATGGCGGAAGGTGTCTCAAGATGAGCTCAAGTTCCAGCATGAAGAGCTCTTCGGGAAAGCCCTTCTTGCTGCGTCATTTTTCATTTGGTTCCAAGGGGACAAAACCCTATACCGAGAGCCTGTCCACCCGGAAAAAGGGGTTTTTCTGGACAAGATCTAGCAAGGAGTAAAGCTTCTTGGTGGATGATAATGGTAACAATATAAAATGTCTTCACAAAGAAATTTATCTAGGAATATCATAATGTTCTCTTGCCTATTATATTTTCCCTTGTTCTGATAGATTTAGATCACAAATATCCTTCACTAGTAATGTATCTAAATCTCGTGTTCTGACTAGTGAATTGCATTGTTTCCAAAATCTGCAGAAGCCGCGGGTCAGCTCTCTAAGGATAGTAGAGAGCCATAAAAGCGTCAGGATCTTGCTGGCGGATATGGATTCCCAGAATTTAGGTTAGCTTTTGAAGTATACAATGTAAGAAATTGGGAATACAATACAAGTTGACTAATGATCGATTCATTATATAGGAAAAGAAAACAAAAAAGTGCATAGTATCCGTTGGTAGTTTTTTCTTGGTGTACATTCAAGTTTGTTTTGTTCCATGTTAAGGGGGCATGAAATTATCCCGAAGACTGTCTGGTCTAGATTCTTCTATTCTGCACCAGGTATCTAGATTATATGTATATGCCTGCCTAAAGATGTAATGATTTTTTAGCCCTTGTACGTGGGATATTCTGTCTGGCCATCTCTTTATCTTTGATATTGTGCTCAAGATTCAGTTACAGTTGCATCTTTCACAATCCTCATTTACGAAAGGCTAGTTACTTTTACCGTAAAGTAACTGCATTTGTTACTTCATGGCATCTGCAGCATGGAACCATGATTTTGTAGGGGTCCATTATTATGCCAGTGACGTCGGCAATAGTGAAATATTATTTGCACTTAACTGGAAAAGAATCAAACACAAGATACCTGAACTAGTAATGGTACATAAAGCTTTTGAAAGACAAATATCATATATACGTGACGCGAAATGTAATAGAGCCGCTTAACTCCTGTCTCACGACTACACGTACCACAAATACACAATCTAAATTTAGAAAAAAGAGAATGTAGGATTTAATAAATAAAACAAAAATGCAACGACTTACAGTAGTTCATAAATAAATATTTGTTCAACAAAACAACAACATATCCAGTAAAATTTCACTAGTGGGGTCTGGGGAGAGTAGAGTGTACGCAGACCTCACCCTACCTCGAAAAAAATATTTGTACAACAAAAAGTGAAGAAATTTGTATGATCAAATTACTTTTGTCTGCAACTATTTTTGTCTATAACAAAAGATGAAGATTTAGAAGCGTTAGAGATCTGCAATAATAAATTAAATTACATAAAACTGCCAAAATTATCCATAGGAAGGTATGTGACCTGCAAAACTTGATTTAGAAAGTTTTATAGTATATCTCATATAACGTCATGTACTAATATACATTTTTAAGTCTAGTAGTTGTAACAGATAGAGAACCGTATTGTCCTCTAGCGGTGTAATTTAGCAGAATCAAGATGATGCTTTCGAAACGACTCAATCTGAATTCTATTGTCGTTTTACACCAACGACGTGTCCTAAAACTCCTACGTGGCAGCACCAAGCAGCTTACGCGATGCTATTCCTGCATACGTGTGACCATCCCGTTAAACGCACTCATGCAGAAACAGCTGCTGCTCCACCGTTTTTTACACTATGTTTTCCTTTTAAAATCACCAGTTAGCTTTTCCGAAAAAGAAAGAAACACTGATATCCGTTTTGTTCCATCTCCCTTTCAATTATCTTTGAATATATTTCGTGAGAATATGGCGGACTTACGTGATGAGCATGGAAACCCAATTCAGCTAACAGACCAATATGGACACCCGGTTCAGCTGACCGATGAGCATGGAAACCCCATGCACCTTACAGGGGTTGCCACCACGGCCGGCTCTGGTGTTGCTCCAACGACTGTTGGTGGAATACTGCACCAGCAGCCACAGTCAGTAGAAACGGCTGCCGGCTCTGGTGTTGCTCCAACAACTGTTGGTGGAATACTGCACCAGCAGCCACAGTCAGAGCAAAAGCAACAGCTGAGAAAAGAACAGCAACTACAACAAGAGAAGAGACAACAACAGGAGGAGAAACAACAACAGGAGGAGCTCCACCGCTCCGGCAGTTCAAGCTCTAGCTCTGTATGATCTCTTATATTTCTCATCTCAAACATGACCCCTCATAAAAAAAACGACCCCCCCCCCCCCTCCCAAAAAAAAAAAACATGACTTCTCATAGTACTACTTTTCAAGCTGATTTTTTTTTAGGTGTTCCTTTCGACCTCACG